GTACTTACTTCCTTTGGACAGCACAGGAAGTCCTTATCTCAAAAACAAAACAATCCTCAAACTACAGACTGATAATATATATAAAAAACAATAGAACCCATATTACAATGTAAAAACTTCTACTTAATCAAATTATAAGAATTTGGCAAAAAAAGAAAAAAAAAAAAACCACTTAGAAATTACCAGAATAGTATCTGAAACTGGGATTTTAAAATATGAATGAATTTTACTCAGAGCATACAATTTGCTTTAACATACTAACTTATATGCATCTAAGTTATAGATGCAAACTGGGACTTTGGGCAAAAACATGTACACAGAATTTACAACAAAAAAACGGGACAGCACTGGGATTTTCAGTGAGTTATCCATCCTTCAGCCAGAGCCACAGTCTAACGCCTCTTCCTAGACCCTGCTCATTCAAGAGGTTCTACTGAGGAACACTGGAATTTATCTAACTTACATGTTCAGATGGTTTTAGTCACTCCCTGCTTTCAGGTTTCATTAGTGAACTGAAGTCATCTACTTACCTTTCCTTCTATTCACTGTTTAGTTTATGAAAACAATGATTGAGCCAGGCATAGTGGCACATACCCTCTAATCCCAGCTCTCTGGGAGGCTGAGGTAGGAGGATCACAAGTTCTAGGCTAGGGAGGTAACTTGGCCACCTGCCAAGACCCTGTGTCAATATTTCAAAAATAAAACAGAAGGCAAACAGGTCTGGAGATACAGCTCAGTGAAAAGGACCTGGGTTCAATTCTCAGTCTCTCTCTCTCTCTCTCTCTCTCTCACACACACACACACACACACACACACAAATATAACTTAAATATTTAGAAGCAGATTATGTACCCTGTTTTTACTTTTAAATCAGATGATGATTTAGTACTTAAGATGAAGTATGACAGTTTTGTCTTTTCAATCCTAAGATTAGATGCCCAGAGCCAAGGAACTGATTTTTATGGGTCAACTCTGAAGCCTTTACTAAAGATAAGAATTTAAAAATGTTTTATGATGATGTTTTGGTACCAATAACTGAACTCAGGACCTTGCGCTTGCCAGGCAGGTGCTTGTGTCACTGAGCTACATCCTCAGCCCAAAAATGTTTTATTATCATGGATATTTCAGTCCCTTCCCACTCTGCAGTGAGTAATGTAGTCACTTACCAAGGGCTTGTTTCACTCTTCTCCCTTTGCCTCTCAGACAGTCCTAGAGTCTACTAGGCCTGTTCTATGACCTTCAAGAATTTAGATTACAAAAAGTAAACTCTAATGTTTCTGCTGAAATAGTTTTTCTAATTCTTAATCATTATACACTGAAAACATTTTTATGTCAACTTTAATCTTAAAGACTTGTTAAACTGTGTATGGAACTGTAAATCTCCAATGAACCTAAACGTATTTATTTTAAAATATTTTTCAAGCTGTTCAATTACTTTCATGTCCTTTAGAGTTGAATCAATATCTTGATTGTTGTCAAGCTGGCTGGCTGTTTTGAAGTGTGCCTTCACTTCATGGAAAACTGATAGTACCTGTCACAACTGATAAACTTTGAGCTTTTATATAAAATTTAGTTTCCTTCATGTGTTTTAGGGCATTTGATACAGACTCAACTTGCTATGTCTCTTCTTTCTATTTCTGTCTAGTAGTTGTATGATCATTTCTACCAGGCCTTAAGTTCTCTAGTTCATCACACCACCTTATGATGGGAGCCCCCAAATCACCAACATATGAAAATATGCAAGTTATCACAAACCTAGGCTTCTAACCAGCAAGAATACTAGTCCAAGTTTTAGGTCTAGGTGGCTATTTCTCTTTCTGCCCTTTTGTAAGGACTCAGCTGAAGGTAAGGACTCAGCTGAAGGTAAGGACTCAGCTGTAGGTAAACTTAAGTTCAGATAGTGGGTAGATAGCCTTTCCTATTCTGTTTCTGATCCTCTTAATGTCTCCCTTATATTAAAACAGCAACTCTCAACCTACAGACTTCCTAGAGCTCCCAAAACTCAGAAACCCACAAAAGTAAAACATTTGCATAAGAATACTATGGTATTATTTACTTTCCACTGTGTTGACATTTGCCTTGATTTAAGCAAACGCACTGGAGGATAAACCTGCTGAGCCTTAGTAACAATCAGCATTAGTACCAAACTGTATTTCATGGCCACACACTAGCAGTTTAAAAAGTTCACTTAAGAATGTCTTTGATGAAGCAGTTAAATTATGTTTTTTAGTAAATCTGACATACTTAACATTTTGTGTGATGAAAGGGAAAGTGTGGACTTTTGCTGCACACAAATACAATGACTGTCTCCACAGAAAGCATTCAAGCAATTGAGTTGTAAGCTAAATTTTTTTATACCACTAAATGCTCTCCCATTTTGACAAATTATGGATACACTGTCTTTATTATCTTACCAGATACTCATTCAGCCTACTTCAGTGTGGCTTCTGATTTGCCTGTAATGTGGAACTGCTCTTGCTAAAGCCACCAACAGGCTCCTGACTACCAAAACTAAGGCACACATTTCATTCCTTATTTGACTTAACTTGTCCACTGCTCCTAACACTACTGAGTACTCTTTTCTTGAAATTCTAATAGCGATGCTAAGATGTTATTGCTCTCCAGCGTCTAGTGATTCCTTCTTTTCTTTGCTGGCAGATCTACACGCTGAATGTTTAGCTCATGCTAGTATTTTAAACTCTAGGTCCACAACTGTGCAAAGGATAACACCACTTTATGATCTTAAGATGTTTTATATCTTTACTGACCTTCCACAAATATTTGCTCCTCTTTCGCTTAATGCCCTACCTTGAACAATGAGGCCACTACCAACCTAAGCCAAAAATGTGGCAGTCGTCTTAAAGATCCGCCTTCTTCACTTTCTAAATATATTCTAATTTCTAAACCTATCTTCACTGCAACTAATTTTAAGCCCTAATAATTTCTCATGCAATGTATTTCCCTCCTCCAATTCTGACCCTTCCAATCCACTGTCTACACAGCTAACAAAATTAAAAAGTCTAAAATGATGTTATATAAGTTATATAATTCAGTTGGATTCCGGGCTTAAGTGGAAATTATTCAATAAACACTCAATATTCTGTACCTATCACTACCACATAGGCATTTTCCTAAGGAAAGGTCCAAGTTTTCAAGACTAACCCCAAAAGGAGTAAGCCCTTTGGAACCTGTCAGAATCATCTCAAACCATAACCACTTTCCCAGTATGTATAGGTTCCGGCCAACTCCCAGTTACTTTCAGTTCACATACAGGGCTCTGCTCCTTCAACTTTTCACCCCAATGAACATCAGATGCCCTTTGCCTGGAAAGTAACCCTCATCTGCTCCTCAAGGGAACAAGCACTCATCCTTCCAGTGTTCCTGCATCTATATAGCTCTCCCCAGATTATCTCTCCTATACTCTGTAGACGCCTTTATCACAGGATTCTCATTTGGAATTTTCGTATCCTCCACCCTCAAGAAATCATAAGAAAAAGATCATTTTATTCGTGCTTGTATGCTACTGTTTAGCACAGTGCTGGTATGTAAATACACTCAAATATCTGAGGGTATGTTTATTATGGCATTAACAATATGCAGTCTTACCACAAAATTATTTCCTGCATAAAACTGAAAGTATTTCTTTAAGAAGCTTAAAAAAGATTTTCTCCCAAATACTTCAGAAAACTAATGAACCTAACACTAGCACTTCAAAGAAAGTCTGTAATGTTAAAAAACTGACAATATAAGCATAAACATAAACTGTCTTTTCCTGAGTAAAAACCTAAATTAACTATAAATTATAATCTTCAGTGAAACAAAAGCAGCATACTACATCTAAGGCTTCTTCTCAAGCTTTACCTTGTTTTTGTGGTGCTGGGAATGAACTCAGGGCCTCAGACATGCTAGGGCAGCTCTCTACAAAGGCCATACATAGCCCCAGTCTCTTAATCTTTATATTTGATTAGCCCAGTTAAATAATGTAATCACTCTTGCAATTTTTAATTTTTGTATGCACAAATAATGTCCTGGACCGAGGTTTGCAAAAAAAAAAAAAAAAAAACAACAAAAAAACCCAAAAAACCAAAAACCAAACATGTCTTTAAAGTGGCCCTTTGTATGTAAAGCACTATTTCGATTTTCAGAAAAGCAGCAAAACTTTGGCAATGTGGTGTACGCAGGAAATCAGAGAATGGTGTACGTACTCATCAAAGAATTTTGAGCTTCTGTTACTTTTTAAAAACATCCTAACAAGAAACTAGACGTTTCTACGCTTATGACTTCATCATTAAAACAAAGGGTGAAAGAGTTAGGGACATAAACGTTGCTGGCTATACACACAACCTGCCCGCGCACTGGACGGAGGCCAGCTGTCTATTAATAAGGCCCTGAAAATCAGCACCGAAATATGTACTGGGCAACGGCGTTCGAAGGAAACCTTCAGTGCCTGGTAAATTTACTAACTCCTCCAGGCAGCGTGATCATTGCCAAGGTCACATGAATAAGTCTCCTTTAACGTTAATGATTGTGAGTGCTCCACGAAGGGACTAAAACTGACTTCCCAAGCAGGATGTTGCTTGCGAGGACCTAACAAACTCGACGTCCCTTCCTGACAGGTTGGAAAATGAGCCGAATTCACTCGACGCGTTTTCTGAAAACTGCTTTCCTGACTCAGTCCCATTATTTTTAACAAGAGCCAGCCTTAAAAGCAAATGCAGGGCGCGGGGGGCGCGGGAAGCGGGCGCGGGCGGCCGCGGACTTCGGT